TAGTATTTCATTCTCTCGTTCATATATTCTTATCTGGATAAAATGACAAGGCGGAAAAAGTCACCACAAAAAAAAAGAACAAGAGGCAGTACCAAAGGCTAGGGACTTAATCAATACAGATGTTGGTAATATGTCAGACCTAGAGTTCGGAATGACGATTCTCAAGTTGCTAGCTGGGCTTGAAAAAGGCATGGAAGATATTAGAGAAACTTTGGAGAAATAAAAGCCCTTTTTGGAGAAATAAAACAACTAAAATCTAACCAAGCTGAAATCAAAAAAGCTATTAATGAGATGCAATTAAAAATGGAGGTTCTTACTGCTAGGATAAATGAGGCAGAAGAGAGAATTAGTGATATAGAAGATGAAATTATGGAGAATAAAGAAGCTGAGCAGAAGACAGACAAACAACTAATGGACCACAAGAGGAGAATTCGAGAGATAAGTGATACCATAAGATGAATCAACATTAGAATAATTGGGATTCCAGAAGAAGAAGAAAGAGAGAGGGGAGCAGAAGGTATATTAGAGCGAATTACTGTAGAGAATTTCCAGGAATTTAAAATCCAGGAGACACACAGAACCCCCCTCAAAATCAATAAAAATAGGTCCACACCCCATCCTTTAACAGTAAAACTGACATGTCTTAGTGACAAAGAGAAAATACTGAAAGCAGCCCAGGACAAGAAGTCTGTAACATACAATGGTAACAATATTAGACTGGCTGCAGACTTACTCACAGAGACCTGGCAGGCCAGAAAGAGCTGGCATGATATATTCAGAGTACTAAACAAGAAAAACATGCAGCCAAGAATACTATATCCAGCTAGGCTATCATTGAAAATAGAAGGAGAGATAAAAAGCTTCCAGGACAAACAAAAACTAAAAAAAATTGTAAACACCAGACCAGCTCTACAGGAAATATTGAAGGGGTCCTCTAAGCAAAGAGAGAGTCTAGAAGTAGTAGACCAAAAAGGAATAGATACAATATACAATAATAGTTACTTATAGGCAACACAATGGCACTAAATTCATACCTCTCAATAGTTATCCTGAATGTAATGGGCTAAATGCCCAATCAAAAGACACAGCGTATCTTTCCTTAAATCCTTAAATCAGATAAATTCAATTTTAAGCCAAAGACTATAAGAAGAGATGAGGAAGGACACTATATCATACTCAAAGGGTCTGTTCAACAAGAAGATCTAACAATTTTAAATATCTATGCCCCTAACATGGGAGCAGCCAACTATATAATCCAATTCATAATAAAATCAAAGCAGCATATCAACAATAATACAGTAATAGTAGGGGACTTTAACACCCCCCTCACTGAAATGGACAGATCATCCAAGCAAAAGATCAACAAGGAAATAAAGGTCTTAAATGACACACTGGACCAGATGAACATCACAGATCTATTCAGAACATTCCATCCCAAAGTAACAGAAATCACATTCTTCTCTAGTGCACATGGAACATTCTCCAGAACAGATCACATCCTGGGTCACAAATCAGGTCTCACTCAGTACCAAATGACCGGGATCATTCCCTGCATATTTTCAGACCACAATGCTCTGAAGCTAGAACTCAGTCAGTCACAAGAGGAAAGTTGGAAAGAACCTAAATACATGGAGGCTAAACAGCATCCAACTAAAGAATGAATGGGGGGTGCCTGGGTGGCTCAGTGGGTTAAGCCTCTGCCTTCATGATCCCAGGGTCCTGAGATCGAGTCCTGCACTGGGCTCTCTGCTCAGCAGAGAGCCTGCTTCCCCTGCTCTCTCTGCCTGCCTCTCTGCCTACTTGTGATCTCTCTGTCAAATAAATAAAAATAAAATCTTTAAAAAAAAAAAAAAGAATGGGTCAATCAGGAAATTAAAGAAGAACTGAAAAAATTCATTGAAAATGATAATGAAAACATAATGGTTCAAAATCTGTGGGACACAGCAAAGGTGGTCCTGAGAGGAAAATACATAGCCATATAAGCATTTCTCAAGAAATAAGAAAGGTCTCAAGTATATAACCTAACCCTACACCTAAAGGAGCTGGAGAAAGAACAGCAAAGAAAGCCTAAACCCAGCAGGAGAAGAGAAATAATAAAGATCAGAGCAGAAATCAATGAAATAGAAACCAAAAAAAACAGTAGAAGAAATCAACAAAAACAGGAGCTGGTTCTTTGAAAGAATTAGTAAGACTGATAAACCCCTGGCCAGACTTAACAAAAGACAAATAGATCAATAAAGCAGAAAGAATCCAGAAATACACTCACAGATATATATAGTCAACAAAAATGACAAATGTACAAAGGCAATTAAGTGGGGAAAAATTTGTGATTTCAACTAATGGTGCTGGAACAATCAGATGTCTATAGGCAAAACAATAAATTTGGGTTATATGTTATACCACATATAAAAATTAACTCGCAATGGATCATGAAGCTAAATCTAAAAACAAAAACTATAAAATTTCTAGAAGAAAACAAAAGGGAAAATTTTGTGACCTTGGAAGAGGTCGCAATTTGTCAGATGAGAAACCACAATGGAAGAATGAATTGATAAACTGACCTTCATCAAAACTGAAAATTTCTCCTCATCTAAGGACATCGGTAAAGAGAATAAAAATGCAAACAACACACTGTGAGAAAATATTTGCCAATCATATCTCTGCATAAAAAATCTGTATCCGTAATATATAAAGAATTCTGAGCAAAGTTTTAAAGGGCCAATAAAACTACCTGGGTAAAGGGAGAGATGGCATGCCAAAGCAGAGGGTAGAAAGAGTAAAACCAAGAAAGCGAGAAAACCAGTCTGAAGAGGAAGAGGCAGGATATGGACTGGAGAAGACGCTAGCATTCAGAGCATTTTCATAAAACATGTTAAGGAGCTGGAACTTGATTCTGGGGGGAATGCAGTCCTCTGGGACATTTCTAGTAGAGCTGTGAAATGGTCAGATCAGATTCTTTAGACAGTTTGCTCTGAAACCTATGTGGAAGAGGAATTTGAGGGAGAAAGTCTGAACCAGAGCGGTTGCAGCAGCCCAGGTCACAGCTAGAACAGTGAGAGCTGGAATGAAAGAAAAGGAGAGAATTGAAGAAAACACTTAGACGGTAAATCTATACAACTTTTTACTCATTAGATGTAGGGGAAAAAGGAAGCAGAAGCAGGGCGCCTGGGTAGTTCAGTCAGTTAAGCATCTGCCTTTGGTTCAGGTTATGATCCCAGGGTCCTGGGATCAAGCCCCATATCAGGCTCCCTGTCTAGCAGGAAATCTGCTTCTCCCTCTCTCTCCCACTCCCCATACTTGTGCTGGCTCTCTCTCTCTCTCTCTCTCTCTCTCTCTCTCTGTGTCAAATAAATAAAGAAAATCTTAAAAAAAAAAAAAAAAAGGAGGCAGAAGTAGATTTACTGGTCTCAAGTTTCTTTGCTAATGATATGCAGAACACAAAAGGAATAGTTTGGTAAGTTATAAACAGTTCAGTTTGGGATGCACCGTTTGAGTCTGAGTCTGAAACTCTAAGGGAAACCCTACACACAGAATTAACTAATTAGTTAATTTTTTCCACATAAAATTATCTAGTACAATTTCTGATTCATCAGTCTATCGCTTGCCCATTGACTTATAACCCCCCAAGTTCTCATTACTTGTGGGTAATTTCCTGAGCACTTGGGCTACGACACTGACACACTTGTCTACTCCCATGTCATCTCACACTGCTTTTCCTACTAAAGCTTTATAAAAAGCTTCTAGTTGTATAAATTAGTCATCCTATCACCACTACTTCTTCCCCTTCAAAATTCCCTTTGCTCTTTTGGTTCTTCTATGCAAGAATTTCATTAAGTTTCATGAAAAACTCTGCTAGGATTTTAACTGGAAAGATACAAAAGAAATGAACAATTTTCCTTGGATTTTGTAATTAAGATGACATTTATTATCTTAGCCAAAACGATTCCAGTGGAATGAAAGGAGGAAGCCAGATTGTAGTGACTGCTCTCCATGAGTAGTCAAAGGTAACTGAGGAAGCGAAAATTGTGAATACAGTCTGGATATGGAAGAAAAAGGATTAAACAGTAACAAATGGGAATTGAAGATCAAGGAGAGACTATTTGAGGATGCTTGTGTGATGTTCTTCGACTTTTCTTTTCCATGCACTGCCCTTGTTTCCTTGTGCGTGCTGTGAGCTCCAGCCAGAGTGTTTGTCTCTGATAACTAGTCACTAACATGACATCCACAACACTCACTCTTCCCAAGACGAGAGTCAAGAGAAGGTATATCCCTAAGGCTTCATAACAATGGGATATTTCAGGGACAAATGTCAGAAAGAGCTAAAAAATTTAAGTGTACAAAATAGAAACAAATATGTCTGAGACATCTCTTCAGGAGAAAGGATGATGGTAGCTAACTCTGCAGGGTTTGAAGTAGAGGACTGACATGTTTGACTCAGCATTTAAAAGGGTCGCACTGGCTTACTGCTTTGAGAACAGTCGTCTAAATGACTGTGCCACCCAGGCGCCCCTTTATGCATTTAAAATAAGTAACTGTAGGAAGAACAAAGACTGTTTCATAAACACTAGCTCTCTATAGGAAAAGAAAAGGATGCTAAACTTGAAGATGCTGTTAGGTCTGAGTTAAAACATATGAAATGATGTTTCTTTCTGAATATTGACTATCCATCAACTGGTCTCACATGAAGTCAGTAATTCAAACACTGATGAGCCTGAGAAAGTTAAGTGGCTTTGAACGTAAACTGGGATCATGAGTATTTTAACTGGAGAAGACTTACCTTGGCCATGACCAGGTTACCAGTTCACAAAAGAGACATTACTGAACCACTATTTAATCCTAGGCAAAGGGTCAAAGGTTTTCTCTACTCTTAGATCAGCCGTAAAACCTGCCCGAGGACAGCAATGACAGAAGAGTTTTACTCTGACATAAAACATTTAACCAAAACAAAAAAACAAAACAAAAAAAAAAACCAGAATTAAAAGATTTTTAAAACACCTTACCCTGGCAGCTGAAGCAAAAGAATCAGGGCCATGAGCTGCATTTCTTATGCCATCGGTTCCAAAGAGAGCTCTCAGGCTTTCGGGAGCATCCGTACGAGCCATCCCGGAGTTCGCGGGTCCAAGCAGTCTTTTCCACTCACATATAGCGTCATCTCTTAAAATCTCCATGGCGATGACAGGACCACTTGTAATAAACTGGATCAGCTCACTACAAAACAGGTAAAAGCTTGACTGGCTTCATTTTTCTGTCAATCTGTCTCTCAAACTATTGGATATAGTGAATTCTGCCTGAGCAAGATAAAGTTTTCATAAATTGAGTGTCTTGTGGTAACCTGAGTTACTATAAAACACTAGTGTTGTCAAATCATTTACCGTTAGCAAAAAAATAAATAAAAAATAAAAAATAAAAAAATAAATCAGTGTGTCATTGAATTTAAGACGACTTCATTGACTTAAAATGCATATTACTGGTCAACTGATTATTCCTTCTTCTGTTGTTCTGAAAGATAAAGAAGGATCTTCCTTTTTATTTTCATGTGGTTTACCATGGCAGTCACATAAGATTTCGTAATATAGAAAATTATGAGAGTGGTCTTATATTTACAGTAAGAATGTATTTTTGTGTAGATTAAAATTCAAAGAATGGAGGGAGATTTTCAGTCAATAAACACAGAGTTGGTCTAGTGATAAAGAAAAAACAGGAATTAACAGGCCTTGAAAAAACATGCTCTTATTACTATAAAAGCTACTCTGAGATATTCTTATCTCAAGTTATTAAAGAATACACACAGGTTCTTGATTAAAAATCCAGCTTGGAGTCACAGTAGCCCAAGCCATGGAAAGCAGCTGCTCGTTTCCTTTGCCACGACTGTATGTGCACAAGGCAGCAGTGACAAGTCCAGCGGTGAAGAAAGGAACACCATTCCTCCCACTGTGTTAGGCAGGGACAGAATCCTTTCTAAAGCAAGCCTGTGTTTCTCTCTCATCCGAACTATGAGAGGACAGGACCATCCTGGAGAAAAGCACATACTTCCTTCCTTCATTGACTCCCTTCCATACTCACTTTTTAAATCACGTCAATTCATTTTGAAGAGGATTTCTAAAAAAGTAGTATGTACAAAGAAGTATTCATATTCTCCATCCTAACAGGCCTAAATGACCTCTTCATACATACTATGCTAGGCCTTAGCAGGAAAAAAAAAATAGACTTAAGGAACCAAAATCAAGGGAACAAACTCATGTTTATCCATTCAATAAGCACTTACCAATTACCTACTAGAAATCAAAATACTCAACAATAACCTTGCTTCCGGGAAACAGGTAATGTCCTGTTAATACAGAATTCTCAGACACACAGAATAGGCCTATGAGTGTGGCATGTAATAATGCAGTGACTATTGTGCCCAACTATAAAAAATCCTGGGAATGCTTCATGAGACTATTCCCAACCCTAGAGCTACATCTTCCATTGCATCTTACCTAACACCAGAAAACTAGTTAATTCATCCATTTAATAATTTACTGCACACTAGTCACATATAAGACATTAAACTAGGTGCTGAAATATATGCTACCAACACAAAGCAGGACTATGATAAAGAATCATTTCCAAGAAAATTAGATATTTTGGGAAGTCCATGCCAGTTACCAGAGGTGGCGGGGTGGCAACGGCAGTGAGCGGGTCCTTGTGGCCTACAATAATCCTGCAAAAATGTCTCTGTGCCATCTCTTGAAGACCTGAAGGTAGACAAAGTCATTCAGGCTCAAACTGCCTTTTCTGCAAACCCTGGCAACCCAGCAATTTTGTCTGAAGCTTCTGCTCCCATCTCTCGAGACGGAAATCTCTATCCTAGACTGTACCTGGAGCTCTCCCAGTACATGGGCCTGAGTTTAAGTGAAGAACAAATCCGTGCACCTATGGCCCTGGGCCCTGGAGCACCAGGTCAGGGGCAGCTGGCGGCGAGACCTTCCGGTCTGAACCCTATGTTGGCTCCTGTGACTGATAATGATGTTGGAACTCGTAGAGCAGGAATGAAGCAAGGGACTCGTGAAGTCATTTTGTATAAGGATCAAGATGGAAAAACTGGGCTCGGGCTTAAATCAGTAGATAATGGCATATTTGTTCAGCCGGTCCAGGCAAATTCTCCAGCCTCACTGGTTGGTCTGAGATTGGGGACCAAGTACTCCAGATCGGTGGGGCCAGTGTGTGGGCTGGAGCGCTGGTAAAGCACACGAGGTGCCCAAACGGGCTTTTGGAGAGCAATTACTAGGACTGTTCGTGACAGGCCCTTTGTCGGACAGTCACCATGCATGAGGATGGGACTGGACATGTTGGCTTTATCTTTAAAGATGGGAAGATCGCCTCCACAGTGAAAGACAGTTCTGCAGCCAGAAATGGTCTTCTCACAGAACGTCACATCTGTGAAGTCAACGGGCAGAATGTCATTGGGCTGAAGGGTGCTCCAGTGGCAGACACACCGTCAGCGTCTGAGACGGCAATTACCATGACTCATGCCTGCTTTTATTTCTGAGCATATCAAACGGATGGCACCAAGCTCTACGAAAAGCCTGACGGATCACACATTTCCTGAGGTTAAGGTCATGGTACAACGGAAGCCTCACTGAACTCCAGTCTACTTCTTGGGCAATTTGACTTTATATTATGCACGTGAAGCTTTCTAGAAGCCAGAAAGCATATGCTGCATGAAGATGTTTCTATCTTACATTACGCAGGGAATCTTACTGTCTTGGTTGGGTGTCTTGTTCACACTCCAAGAACACTGCAGCCTCATCCTGGTTTTACAGAGGGAAACCTTGGACAGATTACTGATTTTCATAGAGTAGCTCCTCTACTGGAAACCCGATGCTTTTACAAGCCATTATGAGTAGAATGACTGATACAGGCGTAGCTCTGTGTTAGAACCAGTCACCGTTATCTTACATATCAAGTCGTGCTGTTCACAGTACTTTAGTTCTATGGCATAACTGCATTTTTAATGTGTAACCACAGTACACGGACAATGACTGCTTTTGATGGGTTTTTAGTTCTCTGTGTGTGTGTGTGCACGTGTGCGTGTAAGCCACCAATTAAGTGCTTGCATCCTGTGTAAGCATGATACAGTGTACGTAGGTTGCTAGAGCTGGTGTTGGTCGTCATTTAATTGTAACTACATTTACTTAACAGGCTTCAACTGAGGTGACTAAGCATCTAGAATAAAAGCCGAAATACAACTATTGCTGATTTCTAAAACCCAAACTGCATCTCTGTGTTAAACGACGTAAGGGCACACACAGCTACAGCCCAGCTGTGTCTGAGAGTCTCTCGCCAATTGTGCAATGGAAATTCCTTTCTTCTAAAACTTACTGGTATTACTTTCTGAGAAATGACTCACTATATATTAAATGTAAAAGATCTTATACCAAATAGGATAAACTTCTAACTCCCTTTATTCATGTGTAGATTACGTGGAATGTTACCTAATTTTGTCTTTAGCATTCTGTACCCTCACTACTTTGGGGTGGTCGGAGGATGTTTCCCAGGTAATTTGTTCCACTTCCTGATCCCTCCCTACAAAATGGAAGTGACACTTTAGCCTGGTTTTTTTCTTTAATATGGTTTATGCCTATTCCATCTTAATTAAATATGCATAATTTTAAAAAGAAAGAAAGAAAAGTAGATACTCTAACAAGGCTTGGGAATATTTTATACTTCCTGATTTAAAGGAATCTAACATAATAATTTTCTCATACACATGTTAAAAGAAACACTATCAAATGCAGGATACCAAATAGCATGTTTAGTATAGTGGCCTAATATTCTTTATTAGAAATGTAAGCACTTCTTTGTCAACAGTAATATATACTTCACAATATTCACTTAAATTTAAATATATCCCAAATATTTAGAACATAAGTTCAATTTCTAACACATATTAGTTGCTCTACTTCAAGGAACAAAAATATTAGTTGATAAGGGCTCTGTGGGGGCACCTGGGTGGCCCAGTTGGTTAAGCGACTGCCTTTGGCTCAGGTCACAATCCTGGAGTCCCCGGATCGAGTCCCAGATGGGGCTCCCCGCTCAGCAGGGAGTCTGCTTCTCCCGCTGACCTCTCGCCTCTCATGTTCTCTCTCATTCTCTCTCTCTCTCAAATAAATAAATAAAATCCTTAAAAAAAGAATAAGGGTTCTGTGAACATTGTTTTATGTATACAAGAATGTATACATTCTTATGTATACAAGAGCACAACTAAAACTCCCAACCCAGGAACACGGGGCTGGCTCAGTCAGAAGAGCTGTGAGTTTGAGCCCCATGTTGGGTGTAGAGATTACTCAAGGAAAAATCAGTTGGGGGAAGTCAGAGGAGGGACGAACCATAAGAGACTGTGGACTCTGAGAAACAAGCTGAGGGTTTTGGAGGGGAGCGGGGTGGGGGGTTGGGTGAGCCTGGTGGTGGGTATTAAGGAGGGCATGGATTGCATGGAGCACTGGGTGTGGTGCATAAACAATGAATTTTGGAACACTGAAAAGAAAAATTAAATTAAATTTTTTTTAAAAACCTTTAAAAAATACTCAACATAAAATATAACTATCACTCTATTTTAATCTACTGAAATCTAAAAACAATGCTATACCTTTTATAATTTAAACAAATCATCCTATTTACTTCTGATTAAAATTTAAGACATCTAATAATAAAATTAAAATTCTAATCTAGGGGTGCCCGGGTGGCTCAGTCCGTTAGGCATCCGTTAGGCATCTGCCTTCGGCTTGGGTCATGATCCCAGGGTCCTGGGATTGAGTCCTGCATCAGGTTCCTTGAACAGCGGGGAGTCTGCTTCTCCCTCTGACCTTCCCTGCCTCTCACTCTGTCTCTCTCATTCTTTCTCAAATGGATAAATAAAATCTTAAAAAATAAAATTCTGATCTAATAAAAGGACAGAAAAAACAATTCATAGAAAATAGTTCTCTACTGTTATAAGATGTTGCTATGATCTTTTTGACAGATGCTTTCCATGTCACAAGTTTCTGAATTACAAAAGTACAATTCTTTAGTATTTTAGGATATCCTCCATTGTAAATCACTTGCCCCAAATTCAGCACCTACTTTAAAAAGGGCCTTGATTGATGGTCTACATGAAAATCCATTGCTTCTTTCCTATAAAATAACCAAAATGACAACAGTTAAAAATTATATTTAAAAAATTACTTGACTAAAATCTTGTAGCTTGCATTAATAGAATAAAGATGAAACACTCGGGGCGCCTGGGTGGCTCAGTGGGTTAAGCCGCTGCCTTCGGCTCAGGTCATGATCTCAGGGTCCTGGGATCGAGTCCCGCATCGGGTTCTCTGCTCAGCAGGAAACCTGCTTCCCTCTCTCTCTCTCTCTCTCTGCCTGCCTCTCCATCTACTTGTGATCTCTCTCTGTCAAATAAATAAATAAATAAAATCTTAAAAAAAAAAAAAAAAAAAAAAAAAGATGAAACACTCTATTTGATCTACATGTAACTGACTAGTGACTTTTCACCAAGTATTCTGCTCAAACCCTCCCACTGTTCAAGTTTTTTGCTCCCTGAGTATCTATTAAGATGTAAAATTACAATGAGCGTAAAGGGTACTACTTACTCTTCTGCTCATGCTCATATCTACTGTCTTCCTTTGCACCAGCATCTTTCACATTCTTGAAACATAGTTTAACATTTGACCAATAAGAATTATTTGTTCTTTAGAGATAAATAAGTTACATAAAAGAATGCAAAGCCATCTTCAAATTTAAAATTTATCATTTTCTTCTTCAGGTTTTAAACTTGAAAGGGCAGGTTAGAATTTTAATTTAATAGTTACAGTTTTCCTCACATTTGAACTAGACAAAAAAAAAATAGTTACAGTTTTCTCTCTTAGAGCTTATGTTTTAAAATCTGCTTGACAAATTAAGCATATCACTGTATTCGTATCGGTTACTAATGTATTAAAAACCAATGCTTTAACTGACATCACCAAAAAAAGGGGGTAATACAGAGATATTCAGAATTTGAAGGGCAATAGGGATTTACCTCGTGAATCTATATTTTTCACTAAAGATATCTACAGAGCCACTGAAAGGATAATGGACTTTAAATTGATTAGCTGAAAAGTCTGAACAGCTTTTTATTTTAATCAAATCAGGTCTCTCTCAAACTGGGACAGTTTTAAAGGCTTTAAATTGAGTTCACAATATGTGACAAATATGTCAACAACAACGACTTTTGAAAACATCAGAGAAGTTAACATGTCCTCTAGCAAAGGATTATCCTTCCAAGCGTGATAATTTAGTATGCAAGGTTTTAAAATCTCTGGGCCATACTACAAAATGAATTCACATAATAAACTGTAACAGGACACACTCTTATTCAAACCAAAGGTACTGAAGTATTTTCTTTGGTGATGAAAGGATTATGAAAGTATACTATGCAAATATGATAAATAAAATTTGTCCCTAGAAATGAGACTGGACAAAAACTCATCTTTCTAGGACCTATTCTGCCAGCACTAAATTATTTATTCTCACAATAATATGTTAAAATAGGTATGATTGCCTACATTGTACCTATGAAAATAATAAAGTTCAGCATGATCACATAACTTGGACCAGGGGGATTTCAACCCAAATCTCTGGTTGCAAATCTCTGACTGTTTTTGTCCTTTCTGTTACCAACTACAGAGGGCCAGGAGAAGAATTCACACACACAAAAAAAGGATATATTATTATATTATAGTCTAAAATGAGGTAAAACCAAATGTCTGAAAAATTCATATAGGAGCATTCTAAGAGTTAGCAGCAAGAGGACCGAAACAACCAGTTCTAAACTTTTCAACACAACTGGGCTACTAAAAAAGACAAAAAAATCATAATCTTTAATACTGATGAAAAGAAAGATCTCAATTATTAAAAGTGTTTGTTTCCTTCTTACATGTCACTGACCCCATAATTCTCTCTATTCAACATTCAAAATGGAAACCAAGAATGAATCATGAATTCCTCCCATCATCCTTACCTAATTCTTCCCTTAAAAAGCTGAGATGGAGGGGCACCTGGGTGGCTCAGTGGGTTAAGCCTCTGCTTTCGGCTCAGGTCATGATCTCAGGGTCCTGGGATCGAGCCCCACATCGGGCTCTCTGCTTGGCAGGGAGCCTGCTTCCTCCTCTCTCTCTCTGCCTGCCTCTCTGCCTACTTATGATCTCTCTCTGTCAAATAAATAAATAAAATCTTTAAAAAAAAAAAAAAGCTGAGATGGAGAGAAATAGTAACAAGTGCATCACCACTTAAAGGAGGTTTTTGTCATTGTTATGTCTTGCTGTGTTTTTATAAAGAAACAATCCTCTCACAAAGATTTATCCATTAATGCTTTCATGAAATGTTTACTTAGTGCCCCTTGGAGTCAGGCGCTAAGCCCAGCTCTGGGACTACGGAGTCAGCTGGGACTCCGCTGCTGCCTTTGGATACCGTCGTGACGGAGGAACTGACATTTGGGCAAACAATCTCCTCAAAGACTTAAACGCTGGGAGACACCCCTCCCAGGCCTCCCACCCCTCCTGGCCTGTCTCACTGGTTATGCCAAGAATCCAAGGGCCCGACTGCCCTTTCTCCTACCTTTTCCCCAGAGTTATGTTTACAATGAGCAGCTGCTGAGGGATGAGGTGGTGTCTCTTCAGCACAGAGAGAAGCCCCGTGTACCGCTCGCTGATGAAGCAGCGGACAGCCCAAGTTCAAGCTCCTCGGCTGGGATGCAACCAACTCCGCACACAGCACACACCCGGACCCACACCACGTCGTTCCCACAGGACGCACAGGCAGGGAGAGCCAACCTAAGCACGATGCGCTTTATCTGGGTGCTTGCTGCCCCCAGATAAAGTCCCTGTCTCCGGCTCAAGTGCTCCGCATCTTCTGCCTGGCGTCCACGCAAGAGGAGAAGGCTGACTGACTAGCTTTCACAGCGTGCAGAACCCAACGCCTGACCGTAAAACTAACAGAGGCATATGAGGTGCTGTAAAAACATCAAGGAGCCAATTAAGTTTTCTCGGGCATCTTTATCTTGGGGAGCTTGACGCCAAATTCATCAAGCACCAGCAGTGTAGAGACAAACAATTTCTAATCTCACGAGAACCATTCGAAGTCATATCTCTAGAATCCAGTTCCATGCTGCTATGAGAGCAAGCTTCCTTGATATACACAGAAATAAGACAAATTTAACTGTTTACAAAGGGTCATGACCTCAGTTTCACTAAATAATATCACCAGTATTACCGCTACTAACAACAGCTAACATGCATGTACACTTACTAGGTGCTGGGGTTTTTCAACTACTTTGCATACATCAGACTCACTGGACCCCACGGCAGCTTCACGACACAGGCCGTCACACTCTCCATCTCGCAGATGAAGAAAATGAAGTACGGAGTAAGGCAGCCCGAGTCCCACGCCCAGAAGGTGCCCTCACATGCGCTCCGGCTCGGAAACGCAAGCCCCCGCCTTTCTGGAAAATATGCAAACTGAAGGCTTGACACAGGCAAAAACTCAAATTAAATATATGTGCGCGTGGGGTAAAACGGAAGGTTTTCTGTTAAGGTTTCGAGGGATCGGGCTCAGGAAAGCCGTGCTGGAGACCCACCAGCACCAGCCCTGCCCACGGGCCGTACCTGCAACGGCCCCACAGAGTCTCACACACCCAGGGGAGCTGGAGAAGCCCCCCCGGCCCCAAATCAACAGAAACCCCCCGTGGAGCAACATAAGCACAGCGCGGCAGCAGTTCTCCCGACGCTCCACCAACGCCGCTCCTATAGGTAAATCCCTGAATAACCCAGGAGGGCCCGCTCCCAGGGGACGGATCGCTTTTCAGAGCAGTAAACAGCATCGTCTCCCATGACATACACGGCGAGGAGCTCCACGCAGCCTTTTCCAGATGCGCCGCTCTTGGTCATCTCAACCGTAACACTCCCTTGTCAAAGAGAAATACTCCAACCTCCATTCCCTTTTCTACCACTTTTATACAGTGTGTTCGACAGTAAGAAGAGATTACGATTACCAGGCATCGGTGCTATAGAAGCCAGTGGGGTTACAGAAGACAGTACATAATGGTTTATTGGTTACCTGCTTGGAGTCAGCCATCATCGATGAATCTAATTACCCGGTGTCTTACTACTTTCTTGTTCTAGTAAGTTTACTATTCTGTTCTTCACCAGGGACAGGTTTTTCATTTTAAACAATGTGACGAAAGATAAAAGATGATTTAAAAAAAAAAGAAAAAAAACAAGGACTAGACTTTACATAACTGAAAATGATCCAAAAATTACCTTGAAAGCATCATCATTTTGAGTTTGGTTATAGTAAACCCAGCTTTGTTTATCATTTCAATTATTTCTCCAGCTTTCGATACTGCCTCGGGTTTAATCAGAGCCAACGTTCTGTATGGAAATAAACAACAAAGAATAAGTTTGAAAATAAAAATAGTTCAGTTTTTACTTACAATTCCCAAGCAGTGGTAGTTTCCTTAACAATCATTCTAGATCATCAAACATCAAAATAAATTATTTTAAAAAGTATATAAAAGGTATCTGAAAAACTTAAAGTAAGCTTACTATTTTTCCCAGGGAAATAAAAATTAGGTACCCAATCTAAAAATAATAATAAAAGTTTAAGGGGAAAAAAGTTAAAATTGTCATATTTAATACGTCCTAATTAATGTAGGGAAAGAAAAATTCTTCCTGTATCCTTCAAGCAGTTCTAAGTGGACAAAGAATTAAATTTACATGAGACAGATTAACAGAAGAAAAAGCCAAAGTTTTATTATGTGGCATGGAGGCCCAGTAATGAAACTGAGACCCAAATAAATGACCAAAACTGGCAAGGTTTTCTTTGTTTTTTTTTGTTTGTTTAAAGATTTTATTTATTTATTTGACACAGAGAGAGAGATCACAGGTAGGCAGAGTAGCGGGGGGGGGGGGGGGAGGGGGGAACAGGCTCCCTGCTGAGCAGAGAGCCCAATGCGGGGCTCGATCCCAGGACTCTGAGACCATGACCTGAGCTGAAGGCTGACGCCTAACAACTGAGCCACCCAGGAGCCCCCCAAAATGTCAGTTTTTATACTTCCTGGACAAAGAGACAATAAATTTGTGAGGGATTGACAGGATAAAGGAAACAGATGTGGGGAGCCTGACTGGTTCAGTCAGTAGAGCATGAGACCTCGCAATCTCACAATTGTGAGTTTGAGCCCCACATTGGGTACAGAGATCAATGAAAAATAAAATATTTTTTAAAAAGAAATGATTGGAAGCTTTAATTAGTAAATAATTCTAAACAATTTTGACGGAGGTAGTAGATTAGAAAGAAAGTAACAAGGTTTGCTTCTAAAGTTTGGTTGGCTTTAAAGTTTCTATCTCTGGAGATAAGGATGTCTTTTTTACTACTTAGAACAGGGAGAACACCTTCCCTATGGGAGATTTACTTCCTGCATCAGGGGGACAGAAGAGAGTCTGGGTGTCCTTGCACTGACTGTTTTTAAAGTGACTTTTATTTTAAATAATTGGTATGTCAAAGTGGCACATTTTGGGGCATGCTGCTCTTGGCCTCCACGTTAGAAAACAACTCCACATTATAAAACATTTAAAATTTCTATTTCTTGGGGCGCCTGGGTGGCTCAGTGGGTTAAGCTGCTGCCTTCGGCTCAGGTCATGATCTCAGAGTCCTGGGATCGAGCCCCGCATCGGGCTCTCTGCTCAGCGGGGAGCCTGCTTCCTCCTCTCTCTCTGCCTGCCTCTCTGCCTGCTTGTGATCTCTCTGTCAAATAAATAAATAAAATCTTTAAAAAAAAAAAAATAAAAAATAAAAAAAATAAATAAAATTTCTATTTCTTAGAACACAGTTTATAAAAGAGGACAAATCTTTTTTAAAAACTGCATTTAATATATTATGAACTTGATTTTTGGTCTCTTGGACTTTAACAAATACAAGCGAAGCAGTCAGTTCATCACTGATCTGGAAAGAAATTCTTCCTTTAACACCCAAGCATCGCACAAGGGTTGCACAAAGACCCAAATGTCTTCTTACCTGGCAACATATTTAGAGAGCAAGCAGCATGCTAACTTTTCAAATCACACTTTCCTCTAAGAGGACTCATCAGAGCCAAGCACTCTTCCCACTCTGAAGCCCCAAAAGATTTTTGGAGATGGAGATCACCTGAATGGTCTCACTTTACTGATGAGGTAACCAGGCCCAAAGAGTGACACCAAGGTCACACAGCTAGTCAGTGGCACCTTCAGGACAGAACACCCAGCTCACAGACTCCTAGGTCTGCACTCTTTCCATACCACAAATAACGTCACTCCGAGTATCATAATCACAAAATCCTCAAGTGTAGTATTTGCAAATATCAGATAAAAATCAGATGAGTTCGAGTAACTCAGTGTATAGGACATGCAAAATTATGATAAAGAACTGCCACCACTTTCCTTCCTTCGTTTTCAGTCATTCTGACACACAGGCATGAGGTCAAGGGCTCCGGCTAAGAAGCGCGCCAGCCTTCTCACAGCTGGTTTCTTTCACCCACGAGGCAAGTCTGACTGAGGATACGGCAAAGCTATAATAATTCCCGTTAACTCATGGCTGGTTTTTAAAACATTTAAATAATAAAAGTTCATCTCAATTTATTACAAGCTGTGCCAACAATCCTTTCCTTTATTTTGAAGCAAACGAGTCACTGTATTTCATATTATATGGCTTCATCAAAGAGAAAAGTCTTCACTTTTTAGCTCACATTATAACACAGTATACTCATATCACCCTCATATACAATGAAAACTCTTCACTTTTTAACCCACATTATGACACGTTATACCCATAAACCAAACTGACCCATGTATTACTTATGCTAAACTCTGGAAGAATCTTTGCGAACCACAGCTCTTAAAGAAAATATACAACACATCAGCCGTCACCAATTTCTATGAACAAGAACCAACGTGGAAAATACAAAACCGACAAAGCTTAATCTAAAGTGCAATTTCGTTTTCTCTTTACATGCCTACGGGAGGCAAAGGGCTGATGACGGGGAGTCATTACTCTAAATAAGTCTGCCTATCATCGCCTCACTGCTTAACTGTTCGGTAAATAATAATTAAAGTATATTCTGTACAGAAAGGAAGACGGGCTTGCAGAGTTACGTGTGTCACTTAAAAGAGAAGACAGCACGTAAAGAAACAAAAGGACCAGTGTCCTCTGCTGTGGCATAACAAGCTACAACACTGCAGCCTGTGGAAGGGTTCACGTGCTCCACGCCTCCTGCTCCCATGTGCGGACCCAAGTCCCTCGGGCTGCAGCAGGACTAACCTACTTTCCCAGAGATTTGCAGACCAATGGCCTTGAGAAGTGAAGGACCAGACTTTCCCGGCAGATAAGGCCTGACCACACTTGAAAACAGCCGCCACTGATGCCAGCAAGTCTGTTCAGGGTCATGTCTCACGTCGACACACAACTAACCGCTTGGGCACCTGCTTCTCACACGTCAGCCCCACCATTTCCACGCCTTCGCTGGACAGGGAAGATGGGCTCTGAGACATTCGTCCACCATCTTCCCAGGTTGCCAGCACACTACACAAAGCAACCTTTCCTTTCCCAACATCACTCCTCCCGGAAGCACTGATTTTTGATTGACGAGCTGCCAAACTTGAGTTGAGAACCTGTTCTCTGTCCAGGGAAAAAACCATCCCAAAATGTAGTGGCCTAAAACGGCAATTTCTTTAGGTTCTGAGGTGGCCGGGCAGCGGTTTCACCGAGGACGACTCACACAGCTGCGTGTGGATAGTGCGGCAGCTGGGACAGCGGCTTCTTTCTCCTTGTGGGCTCTCACCCTTAGGAGGTCACACCAGGCTTCCTCAGGGGCAGCCACGTTGAGTCCGACGTGCAAACACTTATCACGCATCCCCTTGAGACACATTTGCTGACATCCCTCTGGCCAATGCAAGGCACACAGTCAAGGCCAGAGTCGATGTGAGAAGGGACTGGACAGGGCGTGGATCCCAGGAGGTGTGAGTCACTGGGAGCCCCCACTGTGAGGACCTGCCACATAGCAATCGTCTCACCTGCCATGGAGCGCCCAGTGGATGGTGTCCGCAGGAGATGCTCTCAAAAGAAAAAATGTATATATATACATAAAACCGTTCTTTTACTTTACAGCTTCTTAGCAAAGGAGAGTGAGAAAAGAGTTTGGCCACCCTTTGCCAACTCAGAACAGAGAATTCTGCAAAATAAGAGTTTTCATAGGCGAAAATATGTTCCTCCACCAAAAGGCTCCAGGCAAAAACTGCAGCAGATGTGTCCAGGTTAAAGACGCTGTATCACAAACAGCCTAGACGGCACAGCGCTGGAGACTCTGAACGTTACCTGCCTAAACGAATAGATTTGTAAACTTCAATCTATATTAATTGATGTAAAGATTTCAAAAGTTATGCATATTGGCCTTAAGCATATTAAAAACCCATTTTAAAAACATCAACCCAAAGCCAAATTTGTGGTTTCTTTTAGGTTTTCTTTACAAGCATAAAGCATGTGTTTGCCCCCTGGAAATCTGGAAAATAGCCTCAGACAGGCACCTGTGGTTTGGAGGAAACCTCACTGAGCCAGAGCTTTCGACCGGCAACAATGGCAAAGTGGTTCAGAGCAATCCTTCCACTGAAAACGAAAAACAGTAGGTAAGATATTTTTAAAATATTTTTAAAGCAAAAATAAATTGACTAGACACTAAACAATTATGAGTATGAAAGTGAACAAAAAATGGAGACCCAGACAAATGAGAAGGGAAGTTGCGTCAACCTTGCCAGCATTGCCTCCGTCTGGATAATCCGAACTTTAATCTGTACCACATCACCGGGAAAGGGGAAGAAAACCCAACAGGATTCTCCCTATTATTTACTTAGGACCAAAGGCTACACCCTAAGGGGGAATCAGAAAGCCGCAGGCCTTGCCTGGCCTGACAGCCCAAGGTCACATCACTAAGGTAGCCTGGGAACTTCCCAGTTTTCACTCGGGTAATGTCAACCAGATCACTGTCGCCAGGCAACACTCCAACGCAAACACAATTCCACCCCAGAAGGTCACTTCACCCTTCACGAAGTTGTTCATACACATATGCAAACACAAACACACACATATCACACCCATATACACGTCCACGTACACACAGACACATGACAATCTGCACACACACACACGTGAGAAAGACCAACATGAGGGAGAACCAGAAGACACAGCACAAGACAGAAAGCCCTGCACGCAGCTCAGCTACTGGCACTGCAACCCAACGCGGACCGCACAATGGCCACGCGGACCACGGCTGAAGGCAGGACTGAGAAGGAAGCGGCAAGTATCAGGCAACTGGGAAGTCTAAGCTATCGACCATGGGTACTCAGAT